CTTAAAGCTATAAAAATATAACTGAAAAATTATAATAACTACTTGAGTCACAAAGCTGTGTGGATGGTTAAAGGTTACAATATTATTATTGACTGAAAAATTAAAAAAAAAGAATTATTTAAAAAAAAAAAACTTTTAGTTTCGTTTGATTTACCTGCTATAATAAATAAATAAATAAAAATATTCTAACAAAATTGATTTGATTCCGCACCAACTGCGCGATTGATTTTTTATAGCGGTGGCATTTATACATGTACCAGTACCACCATCTTGTATCTTGTATGTTTGTTTACAGTTAATATCTTAATGAGAATTGTTGGCATATGTGAATATATTTTTTACTGAAATTAGTACCCTCAAATAGATCATTATGATATGGAAATTATGCAGTACTTCGAATAAATAATAATAACCTACACTTTTTTCACGGTTCAAGAGCTCGAACCTGCTCGGCMTCATTTTGAAAATGAAATAGCAAGATATCAAACCCCCATAAAAATTTCCAACTACAATAGCAATCGATTTGGCAGCTAGTATGCTGTGAACTTTTGCTTGTGGAGTTACCCCGTTATGGTACCGCCTATTTTAGCAGCTTGAGCGGCGAACATGCGCCGACCATGCGACATTTTTCAAATAACCTATAGTTTCAAACTTGGGTTATCTTTCGAATTTAATGTCAAATTGAACATTTATTATTACAAAACTAAAATAGTTAGACATCTGTTTTCGCGAGATTTTTGGTRGATAATTATATAGTCTGCAATGTGTTAGTCAATAGTTTTCGCAGCGTATGCGATTTAAAAARGTTTTTTGATCATTTTTTCACACCTCGGGTTACAGTATTGGAGTTTTAGTATGGATCCCTAACTTTTTTGAAAATCTAGTATAGCCTATGTTAACCACAGACAGTGTAGCTTCCCGACAATGAAATAATTTTTCAATTCCTTGAAGTACTTTCGGCGCCTATTTAATGCAAACAAACAAATCTTTCCTCTCCTATATTTTTTAGAGATTATTGTATTTACACCATGTAAATTACTACTCCGTAGCAAGGAAATTTATAGAATTATTGCCGAAACCGATAGTTCACTTCGACGGGAGTCCTAGCAGAGCCAAAGCAGAACAATGAAAAAGTATGTGCACTGCTCTGCTCGGAATTTTGTCAAGTGAAAAACTATAGCAGTAGCAATTGTCAAAAATAAAGTGCTGTTCTCCGCTTAGCCGTAGCGGTAGCAAAGAATTTAGAGCAATATGAGAGCAGAGCTAATTAAAATTTTGATGTGCTCCGGCTTTCGCATGTCTTTGATTTTTTTTTTGTGGCTATTTTCTGTCATAATTTTTGTTTCTGAATAAAAAATTATTATTATTATTAAATTTTTTGTTTGATGATTCTACCGGCTCACAAACCACACCACACCGTTGTTTTTTTTTAGATGAAAGGGTAGCTCTTGAATCTCTCCAGATCGAAAACGTCGGATCTTCTTTTCAAGAGTCTATAGAGCGAAGCGATGTCGCTTGGGAAGATCGAGCGGCTTCAGTTCTTGCACAAGGTGTGTTTTGTACGCTTTCAATTTAAGATGTCAATGTAAAATGCGCCAAGTCGTTCCATACGTCCGAGTTACTGTGAATCGACTCTCCACTATCTTCATGTACACTCTTAGCTACGGTTGCTATATTATGTTTACTGCGTGCTGGACGCGATCCGTTCGGTCGATTATTATGCAATAGTTAATCCTGGGTCTCAAGAAGGGTGATGGTGTTGCGTATATGTTCTGTAGACCTATTACGTTGACCGTTCAGTCGTAAGTTTTTCCATGATGAAATGCCAAACAATATTGAACAAAAAACCATAAAAGCTTGACAGGAGTCACGCGTGATTTGTCAAAAAAATGCGTTTGGAAGAAATACCTCTACTTAGATCACTCGCTAGTACATAAGAGAAATTATTAAACAAAGTTAAGATTTAATTGAAACAAAAAATCCATGAAGGTTATTATAATATTAGAGGCTGCTTTTAGGTTTTTATTGAAACTCTCAGCAACCTGTGAAGTGAAGCTTGCATGGAAGTGTCGTTTTCCTGTAGCATTTAACGCAGTGATTAATTTTTATTGCCCAGAAAATTCACGCAGGGTCTTGCACTTGGAATTTTCCCAAAATGTAACCCACGACTCACTTTTGTACATCTTTTAAAAGCCAGACAATTCGCTGTTGTTAAGGGTTTTAAGGTGTTTTTTTGCTACTCCTACTAGGAGGGGAAGAAAATGACAGAGTGTAAACCAAGAGAATATGAGTTAACCTATCGATAAAATCAGTAATCTGTATAACATAAAAAAACATAACTCCTTTTAATCAAATTAGTGTGTATTATTTTTTCTTATTTTAACATCACTTAACTGAATTACTTAAATACAGGTGTTCACATTATAAAACTTTTTCATAGCGAAGAAAGAAACAACCTAAGCACTTTCTTCGTCGCGTCGAAAGTATCCCTCCCAAGCGCACTTACTATTACTAGCCTCCAGGTATTCCGGAATGAACTTCCACAAGATTTTGCACATCTCTCCTCAAACCATCTAGACCTGGCAACTGTTTAGATATAACCAGGCCAAACGCGTAATCCAACTCCCCATCATCTAATGGAGGAACAGGTATGTCTTGTGCTTGAGGTGTCTAGCTCCGACCTGGGAAATAACGAACTTAGCATATCCTCCCTCTTACGACCCTGGCAGATCCTATAGACCTGACACGCTCTTCTTTAATTTTAAGTAACAAATTTTTGTATTCCCTCTTCGCATAACCAAACCAATATTTAAGCTGGGACAGCCTGTTTGAATTGGGTCGTCAGGCGTGTTGAAACTTACGTTTTACGCGTCCAACACCTAATTTTCCTAAACATGAAAATTTCACACATACTAAGAGCCCTATTATTTACTCCCCAAACTACTTCATAAAAACGAGAAAATTACTCATGCTCTCCTAGCAGTATAAGACACGTCACCAGAGTTCTAGACGTGCGTACGCTCCGAGGTTCTAACATCGACTCGGACCACTATCTTGTTTTGCAGTCAAGGTTCGCACTCGCCTCTCTGCAACAAAAAGCGCACGTCAGCAAACACAAGGAAGGTTCGACGTCGAGAAACTGCAATCACAACAGACAGCTGAACGATTTCCTACTCAGCTTGCACTCCTGCTCTCTGAGAGCACTCATCATCAACTCGGTATAAGGGATATATCCGGCGGAATTTCAAACTACATATGCACAGCTGCTACCGAAACCATTGGTTTTCCGAAAGTGCAAAAGAACAGCTGTTATGACGAGTGCCAGGAGAAGGCAAGCCCGATTCGCCAATCGATGACGATGAAGCAGACGTTCCATTGCCCGACCATGGAGAAGTTCGAATAGCAATTAACTGCCTGAAGGACAACAAAGCAGCGGGGCCTGTTAATTGCCGGCCGAGCTATTCAAACACGGTGGCGAAGAACTGATAAGGAGTATGCATCAGCTTCTTTGTAAAATATGGTCGGACGAAAGCATGCCCAAAGATTGGAATTTAAGTGTGCTATGCTCAATCTTCAGAAAAGGAGACCAACAATCTGCGCCAACTACCGTGGGATAAGCCTCCTCAATATCGCATATAAGGTTTTATCGAGCGTATTGTGTGAAAGATTAAAGCCCACCGTCAACAAACTGATTGGACCTTATCAGTGTGGCTTTAGACCTGGCAAATCAACAACTGACCAGATATTCACCATGTGACAAATCCTGAAAAAGAGCCGTGAAAGGAGAATAGACACATACTTTTATGCAGCGACATCTGAATTTGGTGTACCCGCAAAACTAATACGGCTGTGTAAACTGACGTTGAGGAACACCAAAAGCTCCGTCAGGATTGGGAAGGACCTCTACGAGCCAAACGAGGTTTCAGACAAGCCGACTCCCTATCGTGCGACTTCTTCAACCTGCTGAGAAAATAGTTCGAGCTGCAAAACTTAATCGAGCAGGTACAATCTTTATGAGAGTGTACAGCTGTTGGCGTATGCCGATGATATTGATATCATAGGCGTCAACACCCGATGTTCTGCTTTCTCCAGACTGGAAACAAAACAAATGGGTCTGGCAGTGAACGAGGGCAAGACAAAATATCTCCTGTCATCAAACAAACAGTCGTCGCAATCGCGACTTGACGCACACTTCACTGTTGACAGTCATAACTTTCAAATCGTAGATAATTTCGTCCATATTGGAATTAGCATAAACACCAACAACAATGTCAGCCTGGAAATCCAACGCAGCATAACTCTTGCGAACAGGTGCTATTTCGGACTGAGTAGGCAATTGAGAAGCAAAGTCCTCTCTCGACGAACAAAAACCAAACTCTATAAGTCACTCATAATTCTTGTCTTGCTATATGGTGCAGAGGCTTGGACGATGATAACAACTGATGAGTCGACGTTTCGAGTTTTCGAGAGAAAAGTTTTGCGAAAGATTTATGGTCCTTTACGACGACATTAAAAGACAACGGCTACCCTTGAGTTAGGTCAGGTTGTCCGTTTGGTTAAAACACTCCAGCTCTGAAAGTATTCGACGCTGTACCCGCCGGGGGAAGCAGAGGAAGAGGAAGACCTCCACTCCGTTGGAAGTACCAGGTGGAGAAGGACCTGACTTCGCTTGGAATATCCAATTGGCGCCACGTAGCGGAAAGAAGAAACGACTGGCGCGCTGTTGTTATCTYGGCTATAATCGTGTAAGCGGTGTCTACACCAATTAAGAAGAAGGTTCTTGACATTTCAGAAGTTAGATATAAAATCCTTGAATTATACGAATTTGTGGATAATAATTTTACAAACGATTAAAGCGCCGACGTAACTGGCGAACGAACGAAGAAGAGGTGGATACATTTTTTCTAACGGCAGTGAGAAATTATCAGAATCAATGTGTACTGGAAACATTTCAATACTAAACGAGAAAGCGCCAAGTTCTACAACTGTTCCGGCCAATGTAAATAGCTGCAATACCAGGCGGCAATGGGTAAGACACCACAACATGGAATTAGTAATACAGCGATGACAATAGGGTTACCACCTTTGGGAATTACGACTCAACGTGAATGGAAGCGAAGTACAGTCCACGAAATCATTCAATTGTTATCTGATTTTGACCCATTGCAAGGAATGTTAACTGCGGAGCAATTTATAGAAAAGGTAACGCAACTACAACAGGCATATAGTTGGTGTGAGCAAGAAGTTTTGTTAGCAGCTCAGTCTAAGCTAAAAGGCGTCGCCAAAGAATGACTTGACGCACAAAATGTGTACTAGCGTTAGTCTGTTTTCTTAGAAGTATTCCAACATGATTTCCAATTTACAATGAGCGCAGCAGAGGTGCACACGGAAATGTTGAAGCGCAAACGACGGGTAAATGAGACATTAACGCAATATTATTTTGCAATGTTGTGCAATGTGCAATGGTGCATAGTGGCAGGCGAGGTATGATTGACGAAGCGTCAAATGCGTACATTACTGGAGAGTTTAACGATAGTAATTTAACCGAACTCTTATGGCAATGAGTATAGCAACGTGCAATGATTTGTTGCGGTCACTTGAGGGCTTGTCAAATTTGCTATCGTCACCAAAGAATATAGAGAGTCATACGAATTTCAAAGATTATTCTGCACAAAAAACGAATACGGGCAAGTATTTGCTTAAATGTTACAATTGCGTAAAACTAGGTGCAGTAAATGCAACTATATGGGTCACAATGCACATTCCTGTCGTTCCAATAAGCCAACAATTGCTAAAGTTTTAAGTGAGAATGTATATCCACCACTAATGTCAAACGTGGAATTAAACGGTCAGCAATACTTAGCTTTTATTGACACGAGCAGTGATACGTCGGTCATAACGGAGTCAAAAGTTCCAGCCAATGTTTTAAGAAGGCTTGCATTAAGAAGTTTGAAGGTTTTGGGTGTGCAACAGTTTATAGCAGAGCAGATATCGATGTCGAATTACAAATAGATGGATGTAAAATAAATACGATGTTGCAAGTAGTACTTGAAGAATTTAAGCCATACGATATGTTTATTGGACGAGAAGATTTATGCCACAAAGATTGTACCTTAGTTATTCAATCGGGCAGCATGCAAGTACTGAGGAAAATCGCGGAAAATTACGAAATTGACAAAACATTGGATGTTGACGAGCTAGATGATGTATGTAAGTTATTGCAAAATTTCGACGATTGTTTCGCATAAGATATGGCAAAGCTGGGACGATGTAAGACTACATGTATGGAAATTCAGGTGAACACCGAGAAGCCAGTTGTAGGTAGACAATATCAAGTGCCTTTTATACAATGACCAGTATAGGCAACGCTTATTAACGAATTGTTGTTGTTAGCAGCTCCAGCTGTAATTGTAAAGCAGGCGAATGGAGATGACAGAATGTTTGCAGTTTCCAATGCCAATTGTAGAGGCGCAATTGTCAAAACTTGGAGCAAACACATTTTTCACGACTTTTCATATGACGGCGGCATACTACAAGATTCCATTGCATGAGGACAATTTAATGTCATTTGGATTACGAAATGCTCCAATGGTTTTCCAAGAAATGACAATTCAACTTATACGAGGTTTACGAAATAGAAACAAGATTATAAGCTACGTTGTTGAACCAATTATTGCAACCAAAACGGTTAGAGAAGGGGTAAAGGTGGTAGCCGATTTTTTGGATATAGTACGGGGCTTAACAAATATACGAAACTTTTCCACATCCGACCAAAGCTAGTGAAGTAAGACGATTCTTGACAAGATTCTACAGAAAATTCTTCCCAGACTACGGGCGCACGGCAAATTAAAGATTATTTAAATGGACAGACGAGCATGCAATGGCGTTCGAAAAATTGAAACGAGCGCTTCCTAATCAACCAGTACTAGTTTCATACGATTGAACGAAATTTGTGAAGTGCACACTGATGCCAGTTCCATAGGGTTATCAGGGATTATGCTTCAACTAGAAGGTGACAATTGGAAGCCAGTTCACTACTACAGCAGACGATGTAATGCAGCCGAAGCAAATTATCCTTCACAAGAACTAGAAGTTTTAGCCATTGTCGAGACGCTTGAACTACATACTACATGTTTATCTATTGGGTTCTCCATTTATTGTACGAAYGGATTGTAATGCGTTGGCAACGACTAAAGCTTCTGCACCACTTAGACCACACATTACCAGATGGTGTTTGACTGTGAATGTAAACATCGATCGGGTTCGAAAATTCAACATGCCGACACTCTTAGTCGAGGGCCAGTTGAGACCACGACTAGTTTAAACATCATAGCAGACAAAGTATTGTAACAACATAAGTAACGGGAGAATAACTACCGATGAAGCTGCGATTAAACAAATGAAAACTGATTATAGATGCACAACAACCGATTATTCCGTACGGTAGTAGATCAGTTGAGGCTAGCAGTTGTAAAAGTGGTAAGATGGCGAGTCGTTAAGTCATGTCACGACGACGCAGGACATTTTTCTATATATACTATATATACAAGCATGCGATGAATGTTGTTTAAACAAAGTTAAAGGAGGAAAAGGTGGAAGCCAAATGCCCTTAAGCGACATTTTGCCGATCCCACTTAGGTATATCTTTATGGACCATGTGGGACGATTTCAACGCAGCAAGTCAGGGGTTTCATACGTATTTGTAATTGTTTGTGGTTTTAGTAAGTATGTAATATTAAAAGCTGTTCGTAATACTAAAACCGGACCAGTATTGAAAACACTTGAAGACTTGAAGGCAACCACAAAAAATAACGTCTGATCGAGGTACAGCATTCACTTCTAAATAATTTCAGGAGTACATCGATAAGCATGGTATTCAATATAATAAAATTGCTGTACGAACGAGTAAATAGTACTGTCCTCAATGCTTAATGCGTCCAGAACATGGGACAATGACCTTTTAAACATCCAATGGTGTATAAATTCTCAACGTAATGTGGTCACCAAATTTACACCATATGAACTCGTGTTTCATTTTAATCCCAGAGACGTAACTTACAACAGGATGATACAAGCATTACACGATGAGGATAGAGGTAACGTAGAATGTCGATAACATTAAACGAGAGAAGCAGCGAACAACATCATGGAGGAGAGGACTAAATGGAAAAACCGTTACGACAAACGACATCGGGCACCACTAAAATACGATATCGATACGATTCAACGCATACACAAGACATTATTGTAACACTTGTAGTGTAGATCATATGATACCATGGTGTACATTGAGCCCTGGGTTAGATGGCGTCGATGAAGACGAAGAATTTTCCTTGCAGGACAAAATGTAAGGAGAGGTCGAGCTGTCACTGACAGTTTAATCGAGTGAAGGGCATTTGTTAACAAGCATTCGAGCGAGCAATTGGAGTAGTTGTTAGCAGGAGCTCGAAAATAAATTTAATTTTCTTTTGAATAAACATTATTAAACGAATAATAATTTAAAATAAAGAGATTGTGCATTCTGTTAAGGCTTTTAGCCTCACCACCTCACATCACTCATTCGCTTAATTCCTCGCCTAGACTGTGGCTTTGGTATCCGAAGGAATGCCGGGATACTTTACTAAACATCGAAGACGAGGTATCTGTTCCAGCCCTAGAATTAATTGTCTACTACTCGCAAATAAAACCACTAGATGTAGCACCTACCTGCCTCCAATAGAGCGAGCATCAGTTAGTCCGTACCTTCCAGGACGACATTGATGCTACCATGAGAGTCCACTTTCCAGTGACAACTGACCATCCTCTAACCTCGAACCATTCCCCCTCGTAGCGATCGTATTGCTAGCGCCCGCTTTCTTCGTGCCCGTTAGATTAGGAAATTGCCGTCATAACTTTTAATTTGGTATGAAAATGTATGCACACATTTTTGAAGCTGTTTTCTACTTTCGTCAGCTTTGCGCTCGGTTCGGTTTTGAGCGACCACTTTGCAACACCCTTAGGATCTCAGGAGACAAAGCGTAATAAATACACACTGATTTTTTTTCATTGTGTTATAAAATAAAAAAAAAAAAACATTTGTCTTAAAATAGTCAAACTTCAACCGTTAATATCTTTAAGCGTTTACGAAAATGTCGCGACAGACATATTCAAAGAGTATTAAATTACTTACAAAATGTACAAAATAGTTTCAAGTAGTTGGAAGCGAGGTAGTATGAATTTCTATGTGATAATAAGAAAAAATAGAAAACTAAGTGAAATAATAGTATCAGCTTTAAATAAGAACAACCAATAGTAATTACTCATTTTTTTTCAAGTATTTAAGATGGAACCTCCAAGAGACAAATGGAACTTCGTTTTGTTAATTTTCGTAGTACATGGAATTGGAACTTTAATGCCGTGGAACATGTTTATAACTGCGAAAGAAGTAAGTTAATTTTGACTACTGTATAACACTGAAATAGTTTTAAACCTTATAACTTTATCCAGTACTTTGTCAACTATAAGCTGGGAAATTCAACTTATTCATCGGTATACGCTTCGAATTTTTTGCAGTATCATAACTTTGCAGCACAAATTCCTAACGTAGTATTTAATTGGTTAAACATTTTTGTTAATTTAGGGTAATTTATATCGAATACTTATTATATAGTTTTACTAGATATTTTTTACTTTTCAGGGGCGATTTAACTACCCGCATAGTTTTCAGCATTTTACTTGAATTAGCCTTATTCATACTAACAGTTATTTTAGCTATGGTGGACTCATCAGATTGGCCCGGAGTCTTTTTTTGGACAACTATGATCACAGTTGTTCTGCTAAATAGTAAGTGGCTAAGTAAATTTTAATCTCACTTATTATAATATCTTTTTTAGTGGCTGGAGGTATTTATCAAAATACTATATATGGAATGGTTGCTACACATCCGGTCAAATATACTGGTGCAGTTGTATTAGGATCTAATATATGTGGATTATTTGTTTCTATACTAAGTATAGCAAGTAATTCCATATTTTCATCAAAACGGACCGCAGCGATTTACTATTTTATCACAGCAATGGTGGTTCTACTTGCTTGTTTTGATACATTTTTTGCATTGCCGTTAAATGTAAGTTCATTAATATTTTTTTTTACTATATATTCGAGTAATATGTATTCAAATATACTTAATTAACACATTATAATTATTATATGAGTGCTGTGAGAAGCTATATGCCGATATCACTTAATTGCTACCGAACGTTGCTAACCGAATTATTTTCGCTTTATTTTAGTGATATATCGGCTAAGACTGTAGATCAAAATATTGATTTACTGATCTTTGAGATCTAACTATTTTATACTCGATAAAGTACGAATTTTAAGTAATAATCGAAAGCAGATACATAAATAAATTTAAAACTAATTTGGACTAGGAGAGGTTTAATTGAATTTCAATTATTTGTAAGCTCCAAATGTTTTATACTTGAATAAATACCAAGTTTCACCAAATCTTCCCTTAATTTTGCTAAGTTCTGATGGGTGGTAAACTAATTTGCGCATCTGCTATAACAATTTTCATAGAATGCTAGGGAATCATTTAGTGGAGGTATATCGTGATTCTCATACAAGTTAAAAAGTCTTACAAATCGTTTAAATGCATTTAGACAAAATTCCAAATTTAAAGTTTTCGAAGATATTAATTTGTCATTAGCAGATTTAATATAAATACAGAAAAGTTTGAGAGAGCAAGTTTATAAAAATAAATACAAAATTACATACATACATACATACTTATACAATTACTTGCCACGCTAATATATATGTCCCATAAAAAAAAAAAACAAAATTTCAATATAATATGTGCATAAGGTGCAACGTAATATCTTAACTTATCGACAGAAAACATAATTGGCATACATACATATGTACGTATGTACTTTATTAAATAAACATACATATGCTTGCACCAGTGCACATACAAAACACCAATTTCCAATTCCGTTTTCGTTTTCTCCTCTAAGAAAACCGTATGATTATGGGGTATAAAATCATATTGGATACTACATTTTAAATTATTAAATTATAACTCATTCAAATATATAAGGGAACTGTGGGACGGCAGGAAAACGCGTTTAAAGATTGAAGTCACTGAGTTCCGTAATAATTTGAATGTGATAGAATGTTTATTACACTGTATACTATCCGATAATGCAACAAACAAAATTGATTTTTCGAAAATTTCACGCAGTCTGGGGCGGTTGTATCCCTTAACTAGGACCAAGTGGTCGCACTTATTATAAACTTACAAGAGTTTTTTTTTTTTGTTATTTTTTTCTGTTTTATGAATGAAGCGAGTTTGCCTATTGAAAGTGAGCTTGCGTTCATGAACAGATGTGAAAATGGGTTTTGTTTTAATGAATACCACTGTATAACTTTTATTTATAGAATAAAAAACTACCGGCACTCACCTTTTGGCGAATTCGAACGAAAAATTATAAATTAAAAGTGTAGGCGGTTAACTAACGTGCCCAGTCGAGAACAAAAGAGACTGGGCGGCGTCCGTCAGTCCCTTTTGTTAATCTTGTTTGGTGTAATCATGTGTGTTGAATTAGTAATGRKKTGCRCGTGATGTGGAAGGTATGATGTGTGTGGTGATGCGGTGTACATGATGACGATGTCCTGTTTCTGACGGTATGCACGATTCATCCTGCATGCGCATGTGCCGCCATTGTTACCAGGTGCGGAACCTGCGGGATAGGACGCCTAAGTACTAAACCCTAACTCCGTCTCCTCTAGCTATTTATTTTTCCTTGCGGGACCGGCGCTAGGCATTTCTTCACAAGGATCACCTATCTATTGCTCTTTCTTTGCCATTCTTTCCGTCTAAGTTCTATTAGGGCCGCCGCGCTCCATTCTCTAACAAAGTTCCACACCTGCTGGAAACATAGTAAATGTGGTACAATGTTTTCAGGGGTTAGCCGCTCTGAAAGTAGTTTTTCTAGTTCCTCTCGTTCATCTTTATAACGGGGGCACAAAAAGAAAATGTGCCACCCGTTTTCATTCCCGTTTCCACAAAAAGAGCACTCAAACCCATCGTCATGCGTTCGTGTCTTCTCTCTACCCATATTTGCACGTTTCGGATCAACGTGTGTGTCCATCTGCCTTTTGTTGTTTTGTGCCATCGTTTTTGCCACTCATTAAGGCTGGTTTGTCTTTATTGCTATTTTTCTTGATTATTTAGTCGTCTGCCCGCGTTTTTCGCTTTATCATACATTCTCTTCCATTGGCATAATATTTGGAGACATGATACCTGTAATAATTCCAGACACTTCGTGTGACACAGTCCGGAATGCGCACACTATCCTGATTGCACTTAACCGAACTTTCGCCGCATTCGCATACGTTTTGTACAGCAATGCTGGTCTCCAGGTGGAGGCGGCGTACATTAGAACTGATTGGCTAACTTGTGCCAAAAGACCGCATCTGTTCTGACCTATATGGCCATAATTCCACTTAATGCAGCCGTCACCTTTGCTGTTTCTCACATACTCTCACGATGTGGGTCTGATAATTTAGCCTCGCGTCAATGATTACACCCAGATATTTCAACGACTGTTGCGTTGGGATATTGTAACCATCAATGTTATGCGTAGTCGCCTCTAGTTTTTTCCTACTCGTTATCAGCACCGCTTCGGTTTTTGGAGTGCTAACTGGAGCTTTGCTTTCGTTAGCCATTCTTTCATTTTAATCGCCGCGTGATTGCACAAGTACTCTATCTGGCTTTCCACTACCGTTACTGCTATATCATCAGCGTACCCGATTATATGTATTTCTTTGGGCACCGCTTGTTACTATGTAGTTTTTAGGATCTTTTTCTGTGTCATATAGCAGTAATCTGTCGGAGAGGTAGCTGGATATGATCCTCAGCAAGTAGAGTGGTGTCTTCTTTTGTTTTAGGGCTTCCATGATGTGTGGCCAATAGGCCGAATTAAAGCCATTTTTARCGTCGAACGTCACTACCGCGCAGTATCGTTTGGAGCCATATAGCAACCTGGTCCTTTCAATAGCCTTGCTTGCGACCTCTGTTAACTTTTTTGTGGCGCCTATTGTTTGCCTGTGTCTTGGGAAACCATATTGGTTTTCGGCTAAGCCCGGCGGTTCTCTTTCTGGATGTTGCTCTAGCCGGACACAGATTAGACGTTCCAGTATTTTCTCCATGGTGTCCAGCATACATAGTGGTCGGTAGGAGCCTGGCTTCCCTGATGGTTTATTGGACGTTTGTATAAGCACTAGCCGCTGTTTTTTCCAGATCTTAGCGAATACTCCCTATCATAAACATCGCATATAAATTTCCGTAAACGGGGTAGGTTTATGTTTAATAGCCAGTTTTGGGGCCTTATTCGGGATGCCATCTAGGTCTGATGCTTTAGTATTTGCGAATCTCTCCGCTGCGTTTGTAGCTCCAAATTCTTTTATTTCCTGCCTYTATATTGGCTGTAAACTAGGGCATGTAGGCGCTTGTCCTTTAAAGTTTTTATCCTTGTTGCAGAGCTCTTTAAAATAACATTCTTGCTTTCTTGAGTTCATTTCACTTTCATTTGTCGTTCCCTTTGACACTGGCACCTTTGTGGCATTCACTTCTTAGAGCTTCAATACCCTCATTCCACCAGTATGCCCGTTTCCTGTAAGTGCCTTCAGAAGAGTTTCTCCTCGCTTATTTGTGTATGTGCGACTCCACTTCACTGCCCATGCATTGAAGTCACGTGCCACTACGTTCATTGTGGTGTTCGACACTTCTAGTACGAGGTTATCAATTATTACGATGTGTTGAGTATGATGTGTGTGTATGGTGTGTGGTGTAGCAGTGTTATATTGTGAGGAGGGTCAGAAGCTCATTTAGCCATCCCGGCCGCCCCAGGCGACTGTTTAGCATAGAAGGCGCTGCAGCTGTTGCAGCATTTCCACAACGCTGCTCAGTCCCGTGTATCGACGAGGTGGTGGTCCAGGCTGCCGACGCCRCAACTAGGTTCCACTCAGCTGATGTACGACACGAGCAGCGGGATAAGCGGCCGCGATGGATGGGTAGCCGATTCACTTCGCGTATCGAGGTGTGATGCGGCCTGTGACAGATTTGGCTCAGCCCCCTTGACTCACACTCTGGAGTCGTATGAGTGTGCGAAAGGGCGTTGTGACAATGCCCGTTTGTCTTGCTGCCGTTACAAGGGTCGCATACCAGTAAATATGATGATATCGTCGGTGGCAGTCGGGTGCCACCACGAGGTACGAGTGCAAGTACCGTTGCAGGCGCGGTTGCAGCTACAGGTGCTGGCGTTGTTACCGGTGCAGCGGCCGGTACTGTTGCATCTGCAGTAGCTGTAGGCCCGGTGTGTGGCACATTGGAAGCCGCCCGAGCGGTTGGCGTGGTTGCGACTGGCGTTCTACATCCATGTTAATCTGTTTAGAGAAGATTGTTGATTATAAATTTCTATCAGATAAGTAGACATGGTGATTGTGCCACGATATGTGACATGAATGTGTTGTCGTATTGATCGACCATTTTTTGTTAATGTTCTAGGTTATTTTATACGGTGTGTTAATTTGAACCGTTGTTATGGGCGCAGTTCTCGTTTTATTGTTAAATTTAATGATTTTGTTATATCACTTCACGAGCGGTCTGGTTAACGTTCCGGTTTGCATATGGAGGGGGCAGACAATCGCCATGGATGAGGACACATTCTCCAAGTTTGGGCGCATTTTCTGTAGTTTTCCATCGGTACCTCTTGTGGAGGTCCTTGAAATAGTCTTCTTTTCATCGGCGACTGCAATTTTAATTCTTTCCCATCGATTTAATAGGGATAGCGACTCTACGCCTGGCTCAGGAATGCCCTGAATGGGTGCTGCTTTTAGAAAATGCTCTGGAGTTAAATCGGTGAAATCTTAGTGGTCATTTGAGAGTACTGTGAGTGACCGTGAATTGAGAACGGCTTTCGTTCGATTTAATAACGTCGTGAACTCTTCATAATTGAATTTGTAATTTCTTTAAAATTTAATTTCTTAAATTTCTTAATTTTTACAGCTAATTCCCATAAACCGCCTATATGAGGAGCGCTTGGGGTTATAATTTGC